GTCCCTGAGCCTGGCTCAATTCAATGTTATTTATATGGCACCAAATCACAACAACAACCGCCTCAAGTCGCGTTATATTTTAAGGTAAAGGCCCTACAAAAACACAGAGAATACCCCATTAATCAAGCGACCCCCTTTGAGTAAGCACTTGGCAAATAGCGGGAAGGAAAAACTCCCTTTTTAACAGTAAGAAACCTCACTGCAACTACCTTATAATATATCACATTCAAATGACTGGTTAGCTGGTACTAGATGAATAAAACTGAAATGAAGTGATGACTGTTGTCTCATAGGTGATTGATATCAAGCCAAATAAACACCTTCAACTCTTTGTTGTGTTCCTGAAACAATATTTTGAAGTGGATCCCTTATTTTAAACACTCATTCTTGTTGATTTTGTCTTTCAGAATCTTTCATGAAAATAAAAAAAAACCAGTGAAGATCTCTGAATGATTTATTAATTATTTCAGTGCGGACCTCGGCGAGATTTCCCTTAAATTTCACAGCAGTCTACTCCTTAGCTCTCCGAGATGTTTCTTTTTACATCAAAGTCTGACCGACACTGGACCACAGCTTGTCTAAAAATGCATCAAAGCATAGACTTAAAGCCTTGCCATGACAAAACAGCAGGGTTTAACTTTTTAGGTACGCTCTAGGGTGCTGTCTATAATGCCTTCTCATACACTTTAAACACTGATAACATTTCCTCGCTCCCTTATTGCCTTCCCAGGAAGACATTTCTCTGCCACTTTCCTAAGAAAGAGAAATGCTCAAAGTTTAGGTGTTAAAGAGGGCTTTCTTTCAGCATTTTTGCTTGACATATACCCCACAAGCCCACCCCACCCCATCTCCCTGCACTGTTGTATCTGTGAGAAAACGAGGGAGAGAAGGTCTGAACACCTTTTCAAACAGCCAGGTAAACCCTCCACTCCAAATGTGTCACCTCATCAACAGCAGGCGAGCAGAGTTTCGAGATGCCTGCCTGGTTGTTCTTGTCAAGACTTTTCTTATCAGGGCCCAGGCTTTGTTTCTCTGTCTTGCCAAGTTAAAGCCTCGGATGCTGCGGATGCTGATGCATATGTGTGGGAACAGACAAGAAGGAGTAACAAGCTTTGAGAAGCAGCAGGGTGATGAGGCCGGTCGGGAGATAAGGAACACATGCTGTCAAAGTGCTCTCAAGCAAGAGTTTGAATATGAACCTGCTCACTTTTCCTCCGCCGCATCATTTTAAAGCTATAATGAACTGTGCTTGGAAAAGAATCAAAGGAACGAGTGCAGAAATTTTTTTGACACCTTTACCGTGTAGCATCCTGTTGGTTCAGTATAATGATCGCAATGTGTGCATAACTAAATCGCACCAGATGTGGTTGACATTCACGGTCATTGTCACTTTGATGATTGGGATTTTTTGAAGCACTGCGGAGAAGTTGTTGCATGTGATGTTGAGGGAAAGTTTTCAGAAGTGATGAAATGGTAGAAACTCTGCATTCAAACTGTCACTAGGACAAAATCTGAGCCAAGATGAGAAACAGAGCCCTGTGGCTACACAAGTAAAAGACCCCCAAATCTCCTACAGTGGAGTAAGACATCAAAAACTTAAAGAGACACATACTGTAAATGACCACAAACCATAGAGTTGCAAAGTTGTTTTATCGTTATGCATCTCCTAGAGCTTTTACTATATGTTTGCAGATGTTTTGTGTCATTTTGCTTCTGTTTTTTTAGGTTTTGTGACTCTGCCTGAGGGGTGTTCTATAAAGAGAGATTAATGGGCCAGAGTTTTCAGTGTCACAACGGTGCATCCCTTTTTACCTGGCTGGATCACTATGGTAACTTATGCTGAACACATAATGGCTCCGGAGCAGGTTATGTTCAGAGCTTCACTTTAATATTGTGTGTAAATGCCACATTTTCACTCATTCTTTTCCTGACTGCAGGCAGTGAGTGGGAGATGGATTCCTTTCTTTGACTGGGTATTTGCCTGCATTGAGTTGGTGATGCAGTTGACGTGTAAATATAAATATATAAATAAATATAAGTAAATATATTCATGGTGGGGGATAGTTTAATTGATTAATCCAAAATTGCCCATAGGTGGGAATGCGTGAGTGAATGTGAGTGCGAATGGTTGTCTGTCTCTATGTGTTAGCCCTGCGACAGACTGGCGACCTGTCCAGGGTGTACCCCGCCTCTTGCCCTGTGACAGCTGGGATAGGCTCCAGCACCACCCGCAACCCTGAAAAGGATAAGCGGAAGCGAATGGATGGATGGATGGATGGATGGATGGATATTCATGGTGCAAATTTGCTGCCAACTTGCAGATATTGCAGGTAATTGATCAGTCTAATTATAGGCTATTTATCACTGGGAATATTAAACCAGCACAGTGGTTTCTGTGTATCCCTCATTATGGAATGGAGCTTCTCAAGTAGTCTGTTATGTTTGATGTTTCACACCTGTGCAGATGTCACATTAGACGAAAACCTTGGAGCTCAGAATAAGCGGTAAACAAATAAATGAAACGCTGAATTCACAAGATTAGATGTTTATGTCGGTATTCCCCTCTTGCCTTATTTGCAGCGCCAGTATGTCGTTCACATTTTATATATTTTTTTATATTCTTTATAAGACCTCTTGCAATGTCTCAAACTGGAGTAGGTGGCACTTAGTTGGCCCATTTTCTGCAGAAGAAGAGTCGCATGACGAGACTGCCTCTTTTATATAAGCACACTCAGAAACTGAAGCAGAAAGCCTGGGAACCCATCATCTCTGAGTAGGACTTCAGTTAAACTGACTGGAAACAAACTTTCTTTGTTTTACATATTTTTATGTAATCTTATGGAGTAGTTTCCTTGCTTTGCTTTGTACTTTTGCGTTCTGCATCTCCTTGTAGTGATGTCATGGCGGGTAAAGGCCAGCCTTGTTGGCATGTTCACTAATCCGTCTATGGCTTTACTTTTTAATTGGTGTTAATTACTAAATTATTAGCAGGCTAAACCAAGTTGGTTATCATAGCAAAAACCACACCTGCGGTCAGCAACATGTTGACATTAGCATTTACTGTCAAAACAATTCACTTTTTATCCCATCATCTCCCTACTTGCATTGAGTACACGTGACTCCACCAGAGCTGGAATTGCTGTTTTTATCACCAGAGCATTGTATAAATGCAATATGCAGGCTAAACTTGTTTTGAAATCTAAAATTAATGGTGACATTATGCGAAACAAATTGCCTAAGAACATCAGACAAAGTCGGTGTATCCTCAGCTGACTCATTTTCACCATAAGGTTTTCTTAGCTTTGTTTCATCTGCCAAAATTATGCATACATTAGAGGTTGCGTGTCTTTATAGTTTCCTCTTATGCCTGCCCTTTGTAGTTGTGTTGAACTTTGAATTATGAAAGAGGAAAAGCATTTAATGCATTAGTTAGACCACATTTTGCTTCATTCACTGTGCTCCATTTATTTTTTTTCTCATAAAGCTTCAGTAAAAGTTGCAGTGTTTATTTACCAAAAGCCATCTAAAAGTGCATCAAACACTGAGAGATTAATGCATTCACTGGTTACCAATAACAGTTCCCATCAGGATAGTTCAGCTGTTCAGCAGGGGAAGCTCGATGAGAACCACATTTGAGTCTAATTCAGCTTAAGGATTCAATTGTGCTGTAGTTTGTAGCACAAACCTGCTACATCAGCTCATATTTGAATCACTTCACAGTGTGTACGAGGGAGCTATGATGCATTTTCTAATAAATTTTCATAAGTTGATTTGATGAATTCTGATTTTTGCAAAATGTTTTTGGACCACCGCAGCTCAACTCATCTGCATGAATTTTAGTTGGAAGGGATTACAGCTGTGGCTGCAGGCCAGCGAGCTGGAGATCAGTATCATTGTGAGGTTTTGTTGCTACTATACTGTGAAAATGAGACCATGCTGGTAACGCTGTGAGGAAGCACTTGGTCACAGTGAAACTTGGGTACAGTTTTCCTCCCAAGACCGCTTTGGTACTTTGCCTTTAGGTTAGCAGGGTCATTCTCAGGCCTTTTCCTGTGTTGAAATCCTTCAGAAGCTGAAAAACACATGCTTCATACCGCAGCTAAACAGATTTTTAGTTTCATTATTAATCAAAAATAAAAAGAGCCAAGAACAATTTGCAAGAAGGTAAATGATTCATGCCACACAACAGCAAACAAATGACTGGGGTTGTGTTTGTTTTTCCTAAATGAGGTTTGTTCAGCTACAGCTGAGGTCGATGGGAATTTTGTTACTTTTGAATATTTTTCATAGTTGCAGTGTACAAGGGCAAAGGTCGAAGGTTCACCAAAGTAGCTGGGCTTCATGCTCTGTTGGGATATTTTTGTTTGAATGAATTTATTTAATCAGCATCCAAAGGTCATTTCCAAAGATCTGCTGTGCTCTAGAAGTGTTGCGAGTTTCAGTACACTGGAGACCATCAAATCTACACAAAACCAACAAGGAATTATTTTAAAAAGTATGATAGTAAGGCAGCATTTTTTTTTCCAGTCCTGTGATGGAGTACATGTTGGAGCACATTTAGATTTTTTTAAGTACAATGTTAATATTTCATTTAGTTTTTTTCATAACATCATGTCTGATTAGCGGTCAGCTCTTTTCTTCCTGAAAGCAGGCAGATCGTTCTGCATGCTGAAGGTATGTCATCCAACTATCGACACTTCATGCAGAGCAAGGCTCTTTTCTGATTAAGGATTTGATTATTTGACAGGGTTCATTTGTACCAGTCGATGCATAAGATGGATTTGTATTTTAATGAAGCTGTGGGGGAACTTGAATGATCTTGCAGCCAGGAATATCGACCTCAGGATTTAGAGAGATCTTTATTCTGCCCTAATACGCCAATGTGAAATTTTCTAATGATCTATCCAAGTTTTTCAGTTTTCATCCTTGTGGTCTCCCACGCATTAAATCCATCTAACTATCTTCTTTCACCCCCTACATCCTCCTCCTTTCCTCTGCAGGAAAATATCGAAGACCTGGCTGAGCACCGGCTGGTTCACTATGACCATCGCCCTGGAGCTGTGTGATAGGATCAATGTCTATGGCATGGTGGCGCCTGACTTCTGCAGGTGAGACAGTGGAGCTGAAAGTCAAAGATCATCACCAGCTCCACCAGCAAGCACCATCATTGAGATTTTTTTTAAAGGAGAGCCATAAATGCAGTAACTTCAAATATGAATTCATAGCAGCACAGCCGCCTGATAAGAAAGATTAAAACTAAATATATTAAGACAGCTGAAAATGAAATTTCAGTGTGGCTGGAGAGGGTTTTGGAATACTTAAATTGCTTGTGTATTAGTACATAATAATTCAGTAAACTGACAAGTATTCATAATGTTGAAAGAAAAGACAGAGTCCTGGGTTTTCTTCTGTTTCAGAAACATTATTATAGCGCCAGCGCCTGTTAACAGAGGTGTTAGATTTATACTGATCATCCAAATACAATGTACAATTTCAGATGGGGAAAAAAACGACAGTGAAAGGATTTTCACTAATACAAAGCGCCTGGTCAAATTCCCTGCTATTGCATTAAAGCTTGAGTCATGCCTCCCTTTGCTTTTTCTGGCTTTGTCTACCTTTTTGTGCTGATACATTTGGTTTGTTTTCTGCACCATTCAATATCCCCACAACAAGCTTTTTACTTTTTCATTCGCTGCAGTGTGGCATCAATAAAAATATCCAATAATTGACCGACACACAATGGATTATCTGGTCCCGAGGCTGGGAAAGCACACATTGGTCGTGAACTCTGAATACAGACAACTGAAAAGCTGCATTGCTTTATTGCATTTAAAATCCGAATGTTTTTGTCCTCCACATGTTCTGTATTATTCAGTATGCAAATGCAAATACAAGAGCACCCAACGATGAACTGGAACATGCGTGCATGAGGGATAATGCCTCATGTGTATCCTGAAGGCAGGCATATTTTACCAGAGTGATTTCTGTTTGAGAGATGCTTTTTGTTAGGTCAGGTTAATGCATGTACTATAATGCTGATTAGATGATAAGAAGTCATTTTGTTGACAAGCAGAACTATATATTGCCATCTTATGAGGACCGTGTACTTTCAGTATATACTGACTAAACACCTGCTTTTCTTTCTTCAGAACTGGCTTTTTCTTTGGGCATAGACTCAACACGGTTCCTCTGAGATATTGACATGACAGCATCACACAGCATCAGCAGATTTGTCAGCCGTATATCCATGATGAGAATCTCCCACATCCACTACATCCCACAGGTGCTCTATTGGAGTGAGATTTAGTGACTATAGATGCCATTTGAGTGCAGTGAACTCACTGCCATTTTAAAGAAACCAGTCTGAGTTGATTTCAGCTCAAACTCAAATATCCTGCTGGAAGCAGCCATGGTAACACCGTGGTCATAACGGGACGACTATCCCAACAATACTCACGTAGCCCGTGCCATTTAAACAATGCTGGTACCAAGAGGCACAAACTATGGAGAGAAAAGATCCACCATAACATTACACCACCTCACCATCACTGAGAGTAAAAGGCAGGATGTGTCTGTTCTTTCATGTTGTTTATGCCACATTTGACCCTACCATCCAAAAATCAAGTAATCGAGGCAACATTTTTTCAGTCTTCTGTCATTCAGTTTTGGTGAGCTCATATGAGCTGTAGCCTCGGGTTATTCTTATCAGCAGGCAGGATTGGCACCCACTGTGGGCTTTCGCTGCTGTAGCCCATCGGCTTCAAGGTTCGATAATGTGGTGCATTCAGAGATGCTCTTCTGCATACTTTGGTTGTAAGGAGTTCAGTTACTGCTCCCTTACTATCAGCTCAAAGCAGTCTTTGCATTCTCCTCTTGACCATGTCTACATGCCTAATTTCATTGAGTTGCTGCCATGTGATTTGCTTTGTAGATATTTGTGTTAACAAGCAGCTAAAGAGGTTAACCTAGCAAAGTGGCGGATAGTGCCGGTGTCACTAAAATGCAGCATGTGACTGTTTCTGCTGTCAGACAGCAATCTCGATTCAGTGCAGTAGTTTAGAATAAAATTTTAGCCTGAAGCAGATACGATTCAGACTTTACGGTTTTAAATCGCTCTTCTTGAAAGTTCCAATTAAAGAAAATCGGGGACTCTTTTAAACAGTGTTTAACAACATTGTTTGTTATTGTTGATAAGGCAGCGGTCCCCAACCTTTTTTGCGCCACGGACCGGTTTATGCCCGACAATATTTCCACGAACCGGCCTTTAGGGTGTCGCGGATAAATACAACAAAATAAAACCAGTACCGGTGCCGAAAAAAAAAGAAGATTTATTCATAACACACGTGAAAAGACCCAGGAAAACCGAGTTAACGATAAAAATGATAACAAAATAACGCTGAAAACCCTGAAAGCCATACATTTCACACCTGAGCCTCAAATCTTGCGGCCCGGTACCAAACGACTCACGGACCGGTACCGGTCCGAGGCCCGGGTGTTGGGGACCGCTGTGATAAGGAACATTACAGCATTGTTCTATGATGTGTTGACTTTTCATAAGATGAAAGGATGTAAAAAGGTTTGTGTAATTGCATTTTTAATTAATTAAGTTAATTAGCCTATTAAGGGCTAATTATGCAATTAAAATAGTAAAGAAGCATATAAATTATTCCAACTTTGAGATTTTTCTTCGTTGCAGCAAAATTATTAAATAATTCATTCATTAATAGAAAGAAGTAAATTAAATTCTAGCAAATGCAACAGATGCAAGCCAAATTAGATGTTAAAAAAAGTGTATCAATGCATCAATACTGTAGATTCACAGTACAGGGAACTTTCAGAGAAGCGCTCTCATCCTGATGGTCCTCTATAGGAGAAATGAACTACAGAGAGTGCAGAATTATTAGGCAAATGAGTATTTTGTCCACATCATCCTCTTCATGCATGTTGTCTTACTCCAAGCTGTATAGGCTCGAAAGCCTACTACCAATTAAGCATATTAGGTGATGTGCATCTCTGTAATGAGAAGGGGTGTGGTCTAATGACATCAACACCCTATATCAGGTGTGCATAATTATTAGGCAACTTCCTTTCCTTCGGCAAAATGGGTCAAAAGAAGGACTTGACAGGCTCAGAAAAGTCAAAAATAGTGAGATATCTTGCAGAGGGATGCAGCAGTCTCAAAATTGCAAAGCTTCTGAAGCGTGATCATCGAACAATCAAGCGTTTCATTCAAAATAGTCAACAGCGTCGCAAGAAGCGTGTGGAAAAACCAAGGCGCAAAATAACTGCCCATGAACTGAGAAAAGTCAAGTGTGCAGCTGCCAAGAAATATCTCAAGACTGGTTTTTCTAAGGTTTTATGGACTGATGAAATGAGAGTGAGTCTTGATGGGCCAGATGGATGGGCCCGTGGCTGGATTGGTAAAGGGCAGAGAGCTCCAGTCCCACTCAGACGCCAGCAAGGTGGAGGTGGAGTACTGGTTTGGGCTGGTATCATCAAAGATGAGCTTGTGGGGCCTTTTCGGGTTGAGGATGGAGTCAAGCTCAACTCCCAGTCCTACTGCCAGTTTCTGGAAGACACCTTCTTCAAGCAGTGGTACAGGAAGAAGTCTGCATGCTTCAAGAAAAACATGATTTTCATGCAGGACAATGCTCCATCACACGCGTCCAAGTACTCCACAGCGTGGCTGGCAAGAAAGGGTATAAAAGAAGAAAAACTAATGACATGGCCACCTTGTTCACCTGATCTGAACCCCATTGAGAACCTGTGGTCCATCATCAAATGTGAGATTTACAAGGAGGGAAAACAGTACACCTCTCTGAACAGTGTCTGGGAGGCTGTGGTTGCTGCTGCACGCAATGTTGATGGTGAACAGATCAAAACACTGACAGAATCCATGGATGGCAGGCTTTTGAGTGTCCTTGCAAAGAAAGGTGGCTATATTGGTCGCTGATTTGTTTTTGTTTTGTTTTTGAATGTCAGAAATGTATATTTGTGAATGTGGAGATGTTATATTGGTTTCACTGGTAAAAATAAATAATTGAAATGGGTATATATTTGTTTTTTGTTAAGTTGCCTAATAATTATGCACAGTAATAGTCACCTGCACACACAGATATCCCCCAAAAATAGCTAAAACTAAAAACTACTTCCAAAAACATTCAGCTTTGATATTAATGAGTTTTTTGGGTTCATTGAGAACATGGTTGTTGTTCAATAATAAAATTATTCCTCAACAATACAACTTGCCTAATAATTCTGCACTCCCTGTATGGGTTATGCAGCAGTTTGTGAATCCCTCTTGATTCTGGCAACCAAATTAACCAGCCTTGTTAGCAGAGTTTAATGGTTTGAATTACAGCTCACGTCTCATCGGTCTCAGCCTGTGCTTTAATTGGGGGATTTTATTGAACAGGGAACAAATCTTATTAGATTTCTCAATAAAAAAGAACAAACTGTAAAAGGTTCTGTATATCTTTGTCCTTGGCTGTGATTGCTTAAAGAATATTTTTTTTATTTTGGGTTTTAGCACAAATTCAATATAGACAATAACGACGAGGGTGTGCTGCTGTTTCATTTCTTTGAGCAATCATTGGCCGAAGCCAATATTTAGCGTGTCTCTTAGTTTACATCATGACTGCAGTCAGTTGATTTTTACTGAATGCGATGCTACTGAGAATTTAAAAGTGTACCTCAAATGCCATGTCAGATTCACTTTATTGACATTCAAGTGTGTGTATAAATATATAACGCTAAAGCATTAATAAATAACTAACAAATATAAATAATGCATGAATTGTAATATTAAAATATTCCTTACTATTCCTTCAGTGCTGCCTTTTCTGTTATATAACTTTTTTCAGTCGTAAGATGCAGGGGAATTTTTTTTACTTTGTTAAATTGCTGCTACATGCTGTTTATGGACTGCTTTTAAAATGCCCACCTTTCCTTTTTTCCCAAAGGAACACTTCTTTGTAAAAACAAATTGATTCTTAAAAAAAATGTAAGTCAATTTTGGGGCTTGTGATTTTTACACAGTGGCCAGATTTCTAAAAGTATTTTTTTTGTTTGTTTGTTTTTTTTAAATAAATGATTGATCATAGTGGTGAAGTACATTTCCCCACATTTTAAGGTGTTTTTAGAACTCACAGTTTTTATTGCACTCCCAGCATGTGCAGAGAAGCTGGGGAACAACATGAAACCCTCCCTGTTAGGCTTTCATGACAATGTTGTTCATGACAACGCTGAACAACTTCTGTTACACAAAAGTTTCAGTGTTGTGCAAGACAACTGGAAACAAAAAAAATTAAAAGGATACATCTGCCACTGAGATTATAAAAGCAGAAGGGGTTCAGAACTAATTATTTTCCTGATCTTACAAAAAAATTATATAATACAGTTGAAAAATTTCATTTTACTGTTGCAGTTTTTTTAACTGAAACAGAACTAACAAAGCCAGCACCCTTGTCTTTTCATGCTATTAAAGCATTTCGAGTGATGTAAACCAGCGCTATCATTTGCTCAGCAGTTGCAATATCTTACAAACTCACATTTAAAATGTATCACGGCCAGAAATGCATACAAGTCCAAGACTCAAATTTGATTTGAGCTCACACTGAATAGAAAAATGGGCAGATGTGGAAAAAATCTAATGGCATAATGATTAATATATGAAGATAAATTGCTCTATGGACGTGATGACTGGCGTAGGTGAAAATGCTAAAATGCCTCATTAATATTTCAGCAGAATCTCAGCTATTATGACAGATGTGTGTGAAGAAGTGATTTAACACTGGGCAAAATTCAGAAATGAAAATTGTTTGAAATACACAAACAGGAAGTCTACTTTCTTCACCATCTAATTTAATTTAAATGAAAATCTGTGCAGTTAATCTGCAAAGGAAAATTAAGCTGAAAAATCGTTAACACCATTAAGGCTGGGTTTTCCAATTTTAGAAACAGAATACGGTGCAGAGTATTTGCTACACTGTTATAACACAATAATATGTTGTCAGCTTTGTGAGAGCAGTTTGTTTGGCTCACTCTTTGTTCAAGCTTACAATGCCCTTGTGTATAAAGAAATATTTTACTAGCCTGGTAAAGAAAGAATTCGCCCTGACCTCAAGTACATCCGACACTTCAGAGCATTCGGGGTCTACAATGTTGTGCAAAGCCTCAAACCAGAAGGCTGTAATGCTGTTTACTAAGAAACAGAACATGCAAGTTTAAACATATTTTGGGCATGTATGGTGTTGTGTACTTCTACTTTTAAAAAAGAAAGACATAGATGTTCTTTCTAGATGCTCCAGCTCCTCCCACAGTCCAAAGATGCGCAAGT